AGAGCAATAAGTTCTCTTAGCTCACTTCTTGTGACTCAGGCAGTTTGTTGAAATGAAATAGCACTGGCATTATGCCAGACATTTCAGGTATGACCTTGATTCTTTTGCCATTTAATAGATATTGGTTTAGAGCAAGCTAATTAACCTCTTTGACCCTCAGTTTCTGTATCTGCAAATGGGGTAATGATACCTACCTTACAGGGTCATTATGAGAATTAGAGATAATATATGTAAATGGCCTAACTCAATAGAGGTGACAATTATTCTATTTTACCTACCTAGCATCCAGGAGTCCCCCAATCATTTTTTAGCCTTTCTCTTTTATATTTTTATTCATCCAGCTTATCTCTTCTTTCTTTTCTGTCTACTTCAAAGTGAATTCAAAGTGAGAATTATTTTAGAGATAATCTAACTTACCACTTTTGTTGAACAAATAAGGAAATAGAAGCTCAGAGAGATAAAATGACTTGTCCAAGATCACAGTTAAAAACAGAGATCATACCCTGTCGCCTTGAATTTGTCACTGTTTTTCTTCTTGCTGTGAAATGAAATTTGATAAGGAGTTCTATCCTAGGTCTGAAGAAGCATGTACAGAAAAAAAAGAAATTTTAGTGCAAGAGACAAGAAAAGGAAAAAAGATTAAAGAAAAAGGAGCAGGAAGAGCTTTCCATTTTTTTTATAACTTTATTTATTTGTTTTTTAATGTGGTGCTGAGGATCAAACCTACGCCTCACACATGCAAGACAAGTGCTCTACCACTGAGCCACAACCCCAGCCCTACAATTTGTTTTAAAGCAGGGTGCAGCAATCTTTATGAAGGGCCAGGCAGTGAGTATTTTAAGTTTTGCAAGTCATTCTTAATTCTGACATTGTTACATATTGTCTAAGGCTGATTTTGTACTATAAACTGGTGTGGCTATGTCCCAGAAAGCTTTTTTGGACAATGAAATTTTGACTTAATGTAAGTTTCACATCAAAGAATGTATCTTTTTTCTAACTATTTGAAAATGTTAAAACTACTCTTAGGTCATGAGCCATACAAAACAAGATGGAGGGCTGTATTTGGCTTACGAGCTTTAGTTTGATGACCCTATTCTGTAAATGGGGTAATGATACCTACCTTACAGGGTCATTATGAGAATTAGAGATACTATATGCAAATTCAAATGCATTTGGGAGTATAAGCCTGATGATAAATCAAACAGATACTTATCCTTGCTGTCATGGAAATAATAGGATTTGATTTGAACTTTGATTAAGTGGGACACACCTAACCCACTAAAGTGGGTGGCATCCATTCTAGTTCAGCAGATTGCTATTCCTAAGAAATAGAGGCGAAATGCTGCCAAGCCTTCTGATTTTTCAAAAAGAAGTCAAAACTCTGATGTTTTATGTGAAATATACCAATTTTAAGTGTTGGCAAATAATTTGAAATGATTTTTAGATACTATCAACTATTTTAGATACTGTCAACTATTTGCAAACTGAATTTGATACATGGACTACCAGTCTAAAATATTTTTTCAAGGAAAACAAAGTAAAATTCTAGGTAGTTCATTACTTCTGTCAAATTTTCAATAATGGGTGGAACTACACACAGAAGAGCAATGTGGGAATAGAGGACTTCAGCACCACCATAGACTTATTAGGCATGGCAGACATATACAGAATGCTCACCCCCAAACTGCAGAATATGGATTCTTATCAAGTGCACATGAAACATTCTCCTGGACTTCAGGATACAATAAGAACACTTTTTTTTCCCTCTCAGTACTAGGAATTAAACCCAGAGCCTAGTGCATGGTAGCCAGATGCTATACCACTGAATTACATCCCCAACCCTAAAATCAGTCTTTTTTTTTTTTTTTTTTTAGTTTTTGGTGGACACAACATCATTATTTTTATTTTTATGTGGTGCTGAGGATCGAACGCAGTGCCCCGCGCATGCCAGGCAAGCACGTAACAACTTGAGCCACATCCCCAGCCCAAAATCAGTCTTTTAACAAATGTTGAAAGATTCAAATCAGGGCTGGTGTTGTGGCTCAGTGGTAAATCACTCACATAGCATGTGCGAGGCCCTGGTTCGATCTTCAGCACCACATAAAAATAAAAAATAAACAAAATAAAGGTATTGTGTCCAAATACAACTAAAAAAAATATTTAAAAAATTCAAATCAGAAGTTTTCTGATCACAGTGGGATAAAACCAGAAGTCAATATTGGAAAACTGGAGATTCTACAAATATCTGAAAATTAAGCAACCAGCCAACAATGTGTCAAAGAAGAAATCACAAAGGAAATTAGAAAATATCTTGATACAAATGAAAGTGAAAACAAACATATCTGAATGTATGGGTTGTAGTAAAAGTAGTGATAAGAGAGAATTTAAGAATGTAAGTGTTTACATTAAAAAGAAAAATCTCAAGAACCCAACTTTATGCAATAGGAAAATGGAAAATAACAACAAAACAACAACCAAATTAAACTCAAAGCTAACAAAGAAAGAATAAAGATCAAAACAGAGGTATATTATATAGAAAAAACATCAGTGAAACTTGAGTTGGTTTTTCAAAAATATCAACAATAATGACAAACAATTAGATTAAGAAAAAAAATAGCAGACACCACTGAAATCAGAAATGAAAATGCATATCTTATGACCAATACTAAATACATAAAAGGATTGTAAGATTGTATCAAACAACTGCATGCCAAAAACAATTTTAAACTTAGATAAATGTACTAAGTTCTATAAATATACAACCCACCAAGACTGGATCTTGAAGACATAGATACAAGCAGACCTATAACCAGTAAGAGGATTGAATCAGCAACCAAAACTTTCCAGCAACAACAAAGCCCTGGACCCAGATGGCTTCATGGAAAACTGTACCAAAAATTTACAGAAATAAAACCAGTCCTCAAACATTTCTAAAAACTTGAGGCAAGAACTTCCTGAACTCCTTATATAAGGCAAGCATTACCCTAACACCAACATCAGACAAATCTACAGACCAATACCTCTGATGAATATTGATGCAAAAAGCCTTAATGAAATACTGCCAAACTCAATTCAGCAATACAGTAAAAAGATTATACACTATGATCACATAGGATTTATTCCTGTAAATCAAGGGTGGCTTAACATATGAAAATCATTTAGTATAATATACCAAATTAACAGAAAGGAGGACAAAAACTGCACCATCATCTCAATTCATACACACAAAGGCATTTGACAAAATGAAGAATATTATTGTCATTTTGAAGGGGACCGCCACCGAAATGGTAATATTGCCACTTTTACAATATTAATTCTGCTGATTCATGAATATTGAAGGTTTTTCCGTCTTCTTCAATCACCATCTTCAATGTTTTATAATTTTCATTGTAGAGGTCTTTAACATCCTTGGTTAAGTTTATTCCTAGTTATTTTATTTTTTCTGAAGGTGCTGTGAATGGAGTTTTCCTAATTTCTTCCTCAGTTCATTATTGGTGTTTGGAAAAGTTATTGATTTTTTTTTATTAGTTGTGTATCTTGCTACATTGCTGACTTTGTTTATCAGATCTAAAAGTCTTCTAGTAGAGTCTTGAGAGTCTTAAGTACAGGATCATGTCATCTGCAAATAGGGATTGTTTGACTTCTTCCTTTGTTATTTGTATCCCTTTTATTTCTCTTATCTAATTGTTATGGCTAAAATTGAATCAGAGTGGTATGAGTGAACATCCTTTTATCATTCCTGATCTTAGAGGAAACAATTTCAGTTTTTCCTCATTCAGCATGATGTTGGCTATGTTCTTCTGTATACAGCCTTTATTATGTTGAGTAAAATCCTCCCATAAAAACACTCCCATACCTAGTTTCTTCAGGGCTTTTATCATGGAGGTGTGTTGAGTTTTGTCAAAGGTTTTTTTTCTGTATATATTGAAATAATCATGATTTTTATCCTTGATTCTACTTCTGGGTGTATTATGTTTATTTATTTCCTTATGTTGAGCCATTCTTTCATCTGTGGAATGAAACCAATTTGATCATGGTTTATAATCTTTTTAATATGTTGTTGAATTCGGTTTAATAAGTATTTTATTGAAGACTTTTGCATCAGTGTTCATCAAGGATATTAGTCTATAACTTTCTTTTTTTATTGTGCTCTTGTCTGGTATTGATATCACTGTTATACTGGTTTTGTAGAATGCATTTGGAAGCATTCTTTTCTGCTTCATGGAATAGTTTGAGAAGCATGACTGATAGTTATTAAGGTCTGGTAAAATTCGGCAGTGAATCCTTTCAGTCTTTGGCTTTTCTTTTTTGAGACTTTCCATTACTGCTTCAATCTCATGCGTGTCAAACAATTTTTTTAAATATCCCCCCTCAAAATTGGAAAATTTTCTCTATACATTTTTATACATCTTTATGATGTTGGAATATACATCTTTTTATGTACTTTAAAATGCTAATTAAGGGGTAGATGTAAGTATAACTCAGTGGTAGAGTGCTTGCCTAACATGTGTAAGGCCTTGTGTTCCATCCCCAGTACTGCAAAAGATAAATAATGCTAACTGGAAGTAAATATTGGAAAAGTTATTTTCCTTTCCTTTTCAAATCGTATGCTCTGTAAAAGAGTAAAATAATTCATTTGTTATAATATTTCAAGAAAGTAAAATAGTCAGCAATTGGCTAATAAAACAAAAAAGAATATTTGATTAATAAAGTTCACACAAAAACACTATGAAATAAGCAGTACAAATCAATTTTTAAAAATCCGAACTTGGAAGCATCCATCATTCTGTTATCAAACTCTTTTGGCTAAAGACGATGTAAAAATAACAGAAGTCACAAAGGGACTTGGGCTACAAGATTTTCATTGTGTGCCATACAGTAAAAAAACTAAAGAAAAAGTTTCAGTGAGATATGTTAAAGTTTTTCTGTAATCTTACTTATGATGGTATTAAGCAGAAAATATATTGTATTTTACTTATACATTAATTATTTTTTAACAGAACTCCTGGGGCCCTTGGACAGAGGGGATATGCTAAATGAAGCTTTTGTTGGCCTATCTTTAGCATCTCAAGGGGAAGACTCATTTCAAGATAATCTTCCTTCCTTTGGTTCAATCCACAGGCATAGTATTCAACAAAAAATACTGAAAGGCTCTTCTAACAGGTAAGATATGTTAAGCTGAATAGTTACTCCTTAAAGGGAAGTATTTAGTGTTCAGTACTTTGACTATTTAGTGCAAACTAAGAGTTAAGCAAGAATATTTCAAAATGTCAAGGAAAAATATACATTTTTCTCATAGCTAATACTTCACGTTAATTCATGCAAGAGCAGTATAATGAAGGCAGAAGTGAATGTAAAAAAATATAATGGATATTATTGTAAGCCAAAATGAATTTATTATAATATATCTTATTTGTATTCTGTTGGTAAATTATGGGATTAAATCACCTTAAATGAATATTAACTTTAGAATATATATTTGAAGTATAATTTATATCACCTATAATTATCTATAATATATTATCTATGGGGCTGGGATTACAGCTCAGTGGTAGAGTGCTTGTCTCACACATGCGAGGCACTGGGTTTGATCCTCGGCACCACATTAAAATAAATAAAGATATTGTGTTCATCTACAACAAAAAAATAAATTTAAAAAATATGATCTATAATTATGATCTAATTTCCACTTCTTTAATACAATCTATTTTCTGAAATCTAATAGATGAAAATTTAAATATCTAGCTTGTCACAAGGGTTACTGAGAAGAAATAAACATGAGATTAAAAACACTTGTTATTTATTTACAATAATATCTTAAGTGTTATTTATGGTAATAGTAGTGGTATTATTTACAATGATAATAAGAACTTCAAGCAAAGGTAGGCAATTTTTTTGTGTGTGAAATGGCAAATAGTAAATGCTTTAGGCTCTTCAGGCATGTAGATTTTTTAGAAACTACTCAACCCTGCTATTGTAGTATAAAAGCAGCCATAGACAACATATAAATGAATGAAAATTACTGTGTTACAATAAAACTTAATTTACAAAAAACAGACAACAGGCCAGATTTGGCCCCGGTCTATAGTATATAGATGATCCTAACTATATGTAATAATTGTAAAAAGGCAATATTTTAAATTCATGTATATTGATTATATACATGCCTTTACAATACCCTTCAAAAATGTCCCAAACTACATATAATAACAGTAAATAAAAAGGGGCAGAATTTCCAAGTATGACAGATTTTATTTAGATGTTAGTAAATCCTCTCCCTAACAATTATAAAACTGGTCAAAACCCCCATTTCAGGGCTCTGGAAATCACATGAAAATGAGCAATAAATTAAGAATCATTTTTTTCATAAAAAAATTGCTGAACTTCTGATAACAAAGTATGAGTTTGTGATGTTCTTGCTAGAGACTACTCCCATCCTCCTCCCTATGCTTAAACTAGTTCTACCTGGGTAGGACTGCCTATGAAAACGAACAGTTTGACTTGCTTTGGAGCTCAGTGTGGAAAAACCTTTGCCCAGCAGCACTATTAATAAAAATAACAAACTCATTGTCAGTAAAAGTGACAGACTTGAAAGAAATGAACAAGGGAAAGCCATTGTTCTGCTCTCCTAGTTAGATCAAGTGACCAAATGACAAACTAGCCAAAAATTTAACAGGTTGATCCTGAAAATAATAGAACCAAAGAGAGACTAATTAAGTTCTCCACAAATTCCTGATGAGGTTGTATTACCTATCATTTTGGTCTTTCTTATTCCTAACAGAACTCTTCTTAAGTTTTTTTCTTTATACTTCTTTCCCCCTTCAAACCCAATTTCCAAAAGATGCCCCTCCTCTTTTGCCTTATATTATCCATCCCCCACACCCAGAATAAATCAATAAGAACTTGATTACAGAGAAAATAGGGTTCAAGTCCCAAAACATAAAAAGAAGCAAAGAAAATCCTTTTTTAAATACAGATTTTACAATGCAGATTTGGTGGATATTTATGCACCAAATATCATAGAAACCATCTCTGTGAAGGAAAATCTACAAAAGATGAAAGGATTTATAGATAGACATTAGTAACAGAAGACTCTAATTTCAAAATAGATCAAGTAGGCAAAAAATAAGGAGAAAACTTAGTTGAACAATCAATAACGTAGGTATTACGGATTTTATCAAATTCTATACCCAGAATACAATGTCTTCCTAAATGGAATATGACAAAATATATCTTAGGTGCCAAAAGATATCATTAAGTTTCATTAAGTGTGATCAATGGGCCAGGCACAGTAACACATACCTGTAAACTCAGTAATTTAGGAAACTGAGGCAGAGGATTTCAAGTTTGAGGTCAGCCTCAGCCACTTAGCAAGACCCTGAATGAAGTCCTGTCTCAAAATTAAAATGAAAAGAATGGGATGTAGCTCAGTGTCAGCGCACCCCTGGGTTCAATATCCAGTACCACCCCCCCCCAAAAAAAAAAAGATTGGTTTCTAACCACAGTGTACTTTCAGTATTTGGGGGGATAAGGGAGCACTTGGGATGGAACCCTGGGGTGCTTTATCACTGAGCTACATTTCTAACACTTTTTATTTCTTATTTTGAGACAAGATCTTGCTGAAATTCTTCTGTCTCAGCCTCCTGAATCACTGGGATTACACGTGTACAACACTGTGCCTGGCTGACACTAGGAATTTTAAATAAGAATCAAAATGCCCTTTCTTCTAGAATTTTTTTAAATTTCTATGAAACAACTCAGATAAAATAGAAAACAACATGATATTTCTAAAAATAATATTTAAAATAATGATTGATCAGAGGAAAACTGACAGTGCTAAACATTTTTTTAAGAAGCCAACACCACTTCCATTGGAATTTTATTTTTTTAAATTAGAGCTTTATAGTTATACATAGTAGTTGGGTTCATCTTTACAAACTCATATATACATAGAAATCAATAGTGCTGAATATTTTATCAGAAAATAAATGAAATAATAAATGAACTACAACTCAAAAACCAACCTCTTAAAAATCATGAAACCAGGGGCTGGGGTTCAGTGGTAGAGTACTCACCTAGCACGTGTGAGGCCCTGGGTTCGATCCTCAGCACCACATAAAAATAAATTAATTTAAAAAATAGGTATTAAAAAAACCCTATATTTATGCCTTTAATTTCTTTCATCTGTCTAATCGCTCTGGCTAGTGTTTCAAGAACTATGTTGAATAGAAGTGGTGAGAGAGGGCATCCCTGTCTTGTTCCAGATTTTAGAGGGAATGCCTTCAGTTTTTCTCCATTTAGAATGATGCTGGCCTGAGGCTTAGTGTAGATAGCTTTTAAAATGTTGAGGTAAGTTCATGTTATCTCTAGTTTTTCTAGTGTTTTAAACATAAAGGGATGCTGAATTTTGTTGAATGCTTTTTCTGCGTCTGTCGAGATGATCATATGATTCTTATGTTTAAGTCTATTGATGTGGTGAATTACATTTATTGATTTCCATATGTTGAACCAGCCTTGCATCCCGGGGATGAAACCCACATGATCATGGTGTACGATCTTTTTGATATGTTTTTGTATCCAATTTGCCAAAATTTTATTAAGGATTTTTGCATCTATATTCATTAGATATATTGGTCTGAAATTTTCTTTCTTTGAAGTGTCTTTGTCTGGTTTTGGAATCAGGGTGATATTGGCCTTGTAGAATGAATTTGGAAGTACTCCCTCTTTTTCTGTTTCCTGAAATAGTTTGAAGAGTATTGGAGAGAACTTAAACTAGCACTATTTGCTGATGATATGATCCTATACCTAGCAGATCCAAAAAGTTCTACCAAGAAACTTCTAGAACTAGTAAATGAATTCAGCAAAGTGGAAGGAATAAAATCAACACCCATAAATCAAAGGCATTCCTGTATATCAGTGACAAATCCTCTGAAATGGAAATGAGGAAAACTACCCCATTCACAATATCCTCAAAAAAAATAAAATAAAATACTTGGGAATCAACAAAAGAGGTGAAAGATCTATACAATGAAAATTATAGAACCCTAAAGACAGAAATAGAAGAAGACCTTAGAAGATGGAAAGATATACCTTGCTCAAAGATTGGCCATTTTAATAATATTAATTCTGCCTTATTACCTAAAGCACTTTACAGAATCAACACGATTCCAATCAAAATCCCAACGGCATTCCTCACAGAAACAGAAAAAGCAATTATGAAATTCAGATGGAAAAATAAGAGACCCAGAATAGCTAAAGCAATTCTAAGCAGGAAGAGTGAAACAGGTGGTATAGCTATACCAGATCTTAAACTATACTACAGAGCAATAGTAACAAATCAGCATGGTACTGGCACCAAAACAGGCTGGTAGACCAATGGTACAGAATAGAGGACACAGAGACCAACCCACAAAATTACAACTACCTTATATTAGACAAAGGTGCTAAATGTATGCAGTGGAGAAAGATAGCATCTTCAACAAATGGTGCTGGGAGAACTGGAAATCCATATGCAACAAAATGAAATTGAATTCCTATTTCTCACCATACACAAAAGTTAACTCAAAATGGATCAAGGATCTAGGAATCAATCTGCATCTAATAGAAGAAAAAGGCCCTAATCTCCATCACGTGGGGTTAGGCCCCAAGTTCCTTAATAAGACGCCTATAGCACAAGAATTAAAACCAAGAATCAACAAATGGGATGAATTCAAACTAAAAAGTTTTTTCTCAGCAAGAGAAATAATATGAAAAGTGAATAGGGAGCCTACAACCTGGGAACAAATTTTTACCCTTCACACATCAGATAGAGCTCTAATCTCTAGGATATATACAGAACTCAAAAAAAAAAAAAAAAAAACAAATAACCCAATCAACAAATGGGCCAAGGACCTGAACAGACACTTCTCAGAAGAGGATATACAATTAATCAACAAATACACAAAAAAATGCTCACCATCGCTAGCAATCAGCAAAATGCAAATTAAAACTACTCTAAGATACCATCTCACTCCACTAAGAATAGCAGCCATTATGAAGTCAAACAACAACAAGTGCTGGCGAGGATGCAGGGGAAAATGGTACACTCATACATTACTGGTGGGACTGCAAACTAGTGCAGCCAATTTGGAAAGTAGTGTGGAGATTCCTTGGAAAACTGGGAATGGAACCACTATTTGACCCAGATATATCTCTTCTTGGACTATACTCAAAAGACCTAAAAACAACATACTACAGGGACACAGTCACATCAATGTTTATAGCAGCACAATTCACAATAGCTAGACTATGGAGCCAACCTAGATGCCCTTCAGTGGATGAATGGATAAAAAAAAGTGGCATTTATACACAATGGAATATTACTCGGCACTAAAAAATAACAAGATCATGGCATTTGAGCAGATTATGCTAAGTGAAGTTAGCCAATCCCAAAAATACAAATGCCGAATGTCTTATCTGATATAAGGGGGGGTGACTCAAAATGGAGTAGGGAGGAACAGCATGAGAAGAAAATTACCTCTAGATAGGGAAGGGAGGTGGGAGGGAAAGGGAAGGAGACCCCCTTCATTATACAGAATATAGGTATGACGATGTGAGGGGGGGAAAAAAAGTGAGTCACATTAGATTGGGTAGAGAGAAGTGATGGGAAGGAGGGAATGGAAGGACAGCAGAATAAAATAGACATTATTATTGCTATGGGTATATACGTGACTGCATGACCAATGTAATTCTGCAACCTGTACACTCAGAAAAATGAGAAATTATATCCCATCTGATTCAATTGTATGATATGTCAAGATCATTGTACTGTTATGTGTAACTAATTAAAACAAATAAAAAAACTGCCTACACAGCATCTAATTTAGATTAAACTAACAAATTCTCAACAACAAAAAAAACCCCACAAATAAAAAAAATCATGAAACCAAACCAAAATAAATCATAAGGAAAGAATTAATAAGATAAAGGCAGAATGAATGAAACAGAGTGGGGACTGGCAAACTTTTCCTACATGGCTAGTGTAAGTATTTTAAGCTTGTGGACCATATGTTCTATGCAGCAACCACTTAACTCTTCTGTGTCACCAAGGCAGCCAAGGACAATACATAAATGAACAGATGTGGTTGTGGTCCAATAAAACTTTATTTCCAAAAACAAACAAGCAGCCTGCTGGCCAGAGTTTACTAACACATTAGGTAGAAGACAAAAACAAGCAAACAACAAAAAGCTATAGATCTAATTATCAAATTATCAACAGATGTTTTTGAAACAAATTAATAGACCTCCTAGATAGAAAATACAGATCAAGAAGCTCCAGAGATAGAGAAATTAAACATTTAAACCACAGATTTTTTAAAAATCATGAGACTACTTTTAAGATTACTTTGCAAATAAAATATTGTCCTAGGTAAATACATATTTCGCAAAGTGACTACTATTCAATTTAGAACTCTGAAGCACACCAGTTCCATAAAAGAAATAAACAAAGTTATTTAGGAATTACCCTGTGATAAAGCAGCTGGCCCAATTGGTTTGATAGGAGAATTCTACCAAACCTTCGAAGATAAGATGTTCCCAATATTCCACAAACTATTCCAAAGGATTGAAAATAAAGAACTTCCTATAGTACATAAAAACTGAAAAACAATATCATTCATGAATACCAATATTAATAACAATATTAACAAACAAAATCTAATACCTGAATCTATCCTGGGAATACAAAGTTAGTTCATTTTATCAAGTCCATTAATGTCATACATCCTACTAATAGATCTAAAATGAATAAAATCTATGATTATAGATGTTTAAAACGTTTCTAACAGAATTTAACACCTATTCCTGATGAAAACACTCAAGAAAATGGAACTGGAGGATTGTATCTTTTTTTCCTTGTGGTGCTGAGGATTGAACCCAGGGCCTTCTGCATATGAAGCATGCACTCTACCAACTGAGCTATATCCTGAGCCGGAGGATACTTTCTTAATGTAAGAAAAAATATATAACTTACTCTTAATACCAGTATTTCCCTTAAAGGGGTATCAATGAGAGCATTTCCACTAAGATAAGAAAGAAGGCATGGATACTCATTATTTTGGCTTTTCAATGCTATACTAGAGGTATTAGCCAAAACAACTTGATACATCAACAAAGCAATGGTTGGTAAATATGCCTTGTGGGCCAAATTAAACCTGTTTCTGTAAATAAAGTTTACTGAAACATAGCCATGTTCATTTTATTATTTTCTGTAGTTTAATATAGTCAGATCATGTGGCCTGCAAAATCTAAAATTTTTCTTATCTAGCCCTTTGCAGAAGAAATTTCCTACTGGGGCCAGGGTTGTAGCTCAGTGGTAGAGTGCCTAAAATGCGTGAGGCACTGGGTTTGATACCCGGCACCACATAAAAATAAAAACAAAATAAAGGTATTTAAAAAAAAAAGAAATTTGCTACTTTCTGAACTAGAAGCATAAGAGCTAATAAGGAATTAAAACTATCTCTAAGTCAGGCATGGTGGTACAACACACCTGTAATCTCAGCAACTCAGGAAGCTGAGGCAGGAGGATTGCAAGTTTGAGGCCCTAGCAGCTTAGTAATATCCTGCCTCAAAAATAATAAATAGAAGAACTTGGGGTGTAACTTAGTGGTAAAATACCTCTGGGTTCAAAAAAGTACTTAGGGTTATTTTTTGTTGTTTGTTTGGTACTATCTCCATTTTGCAATAAGACAGTGATAAAATCAATGACAATAACAATCAAATATTTGGAAAGTTTAATAAGGTGGATAATATAAAATTGACATTCAGAAATCAACCTCCACATACATAAGCAATAACCAGTTAGTGGAGAAAGTATTAGTGAAAAACTAAATCCCCAGTTACAATCTTTTTTTTTGGGGGGGGTGGTACCAGGGATTGAACTCAGGGACACTCGACCACTGAGCCACATCCCCAGCATTAATTTGTATTTTATTTAGAGATAAGGTCTCACTGAGCTGCTTAGCACCTCGCTTTTTTCCCGAGGCTGGCTTTGAACGTGAGGACCTCCTGCCTCAGCCTCTGGAGCCACTGGGATTATATGCCCAGCCCCATTTATAATCTTAATGAAGGAAATCAAATACTTAGGATTAAATACAACAAATTTGCAAAATTTATATGCAGGAAACTTTTTAAAAATCTGAAAGATATAAAAATAGCCTCAAAAAAGTGGAATTCTTGGATAGGATCAGTGTTATTCAGATGTCATTTCTCCCCATATTAACTTGTGCCGCAGTCTGGCTGGGCACAATCAGGAGCCACTTGTCAAAAGAAACTAACTTTATTTTTAGAACCACACACGCCAAACAAAACAGCCTCTCAGGAAAAATCCTCAGAGCCCCAACTGCCACCACCGGCTTCCCACAAGCCTATCTCTCCAACACAAGCCTCTCTCCACCTCCCACAATCCTCCTGCTCTTGAGGTCGATTGGCTGGGTCATGTGGGCGGAGCCAAAAAAGTCCCCCAATGAGCAGCTCCGTGGTCTGAAAGGGCAGGGAAACAGCCCAATGAGCATCACCGCAGAGGAGCCAATCAGCTAGATGTTGCTGGGGCCGCTGTGAGCCAATCATCAGCCGGCAGCTGGAAGTTAGCTGGCAGCTGGAAGTTTGCTGGGGCCCCTTTGGCTGTGGCTCTCAACATCTCCCCCTCTCTGTTTAAACAACAAGCATGTGGCTTAGGGACCGTGCCTGCCTTAGGTTGTCCAATAGTACATATGGTCCTTATCCGTTAGGTTGGTACTATTGCAATTGGATCTTACCCGTCACTGACTACCGGTCCAGTATACAGCCACACCTGTGGAGAGGTCTTTGTACCAGCTGGGGGGTGAGGTTCTTTGCCTCACCTCTGTTGGCCCCCAAATTTTAGCTGGACGATCATGACAAGCAGAAGGGAGGAAGATACACCAAGCCAATTGAAGGCTCCTTTTGGAAAAATTGTACCACCGATGACATCATCAGCAAAAATACCCCAACGCTACCACAAGTCGCTGCACCAACAGATAGTTCACAATGCATACAGGTGAGTTCACAATGTGTCCAGGCAAGTTTTGCAAGCAGTTCAGTGATGGCTATTGCAGAAGCTGTAGATTGGTTTTATCTTTGACTTCACCAGCACTGTGATGAAGATAGGAATTCTGGCAATAATGGCTAAAGAAAAAATTATGTAACATTACAGAAGGCACTAAAAGAAAACAATTTTCTTAACAGTTTACATTGTCTTTAAGAGAATTATTAAATATAATGAAAAGGAAAGGTGAAAGTAAACAAATAGATCTGTTAACCTCCTTTTTTGTTTACATATTAAAACAATCCTCAACAGTTGTTTACCCAATTTAAATTAAACCATATAAATCACGTGAAAAAAAAAATTGGATCCATTTTATCATGAGCGCTCATCATATATGATATATGGACATACGTACATTCAAACATATAACAAAACACAAGTATGCACACATAATATAATACATACAACACATAACATTATAGTAAAGGCCTTATAACTTTTTACAGGTGAAATCTCCATTGCAATGTTTAAAAACTCTATAGTCAAAAAATAGAACTGATCAGCAAAACATTAATCTAGGTCTGTAAGACCTCAAAAAACAAAATAGAACTTCATGATATGGCAAAGGGCAATAATAAAATAGATATTGAAAAAAGCAGGTGTGGTTCTGTTGCAGATGTAAGAATAGCCAAACTGGAGTTTTGGATATCAGTTGTTATGGATTTGAGCCAAATCATCTTCTTTTTGGTCTGTAGAAATCGCTTTAGTTAATCTTTCTGGAATCCAAATCGGCTGCTGTTCTCCCTGTGGAAACACAAACAGACCTCCGACTCCAGACAATCACTGGGTCAGGACCTTGGTTAATCTCTCTGGAATCCAAATCGGCTGCTGTTCTCCCTGTGGAAACACACAAACAGACCCCCGACTCCAGACAATTACTGGGTCAGGACCTTTCCATTGTCCTGTTAGAATATCCTTCCAAAGTACCTTGGGCTTATGCACATTTTTTGGACACATATGCCTTTCCGCAGCACTAAGTCCTGATGAATCCAAATTTAAAAAGTTTAGAGTAAAAAGGGTTATTTTAAGTTTATCTTTGGGGAATATATACCCCTTCCCAATTCCTTCTTTTTGCTTTAATAAGTACATTTTAATAGTTTGATGAGCTCTTTCAACTATGCCTTGTCCCTGTGGATTGTATGGGATTCCTGTTATATGAGTAATGCCAAATGTTGAGCAAAATTGTTTAAAAGAGGTAGAAGTATAACCAGGGGCATTATCTGTTTTTAACTGTTTTGGAACACCCACAGTGGCAAAATTTTGTAAGCAATGAGCTATAACATCTTTAGTTTTTTCTCCTGCATGAAGGGAGCCCATCAAAAATCCAGAAGAAGTATCAACTGTAACATGCAAATATTTTAATTTTCCAAATTCTGGCAAGTGTGTGACGTCCATCTGCCAAATATGGTTAGGTATCAATCCTCTAGGATTGACTCCAAGATTAACTTGTGGTAAAAAGGTCACACAATTTTGACATTGTTTTATTATTTGTCTAGCTTGTTCCTTAGTTATTTTAAAACACTTTTGTAAAGTATTAGCATTGACATGGAACTTTTTATGAAAATTTATAGCTTCTTCTAGTGTAGAGAAAATATGTATGTCATGTGTAGTTTTATCTGCTAAAAAACAATCTTTAATATCTATAACTAAAACATACCAGGTTTTTGGCAAAGCAGACAATTGAGGAATCTCTGTCTGACTAGCTTGAGAGGCCTTCTCTTTTACTTGAATCTTTTCCTCTGTCTGACTAACTTGAGAGACCTTCTCTTTTACTTGAATCAATATGTCTTCTCCTTCCTCTACCATTGTCTGAACTGAAGGCTTTGGACTAAGCAAACAAGATACGAACGTCCACAATGGCAATGTGCCAACTGGCAGAGTCCCTGGGCTTTTCTTTTCTATTCTTTTTAAATCTTCACCATGATGGTTACATTGTGATATATTTAACAACTCCTCCTTAAAAAGCCATGGGCTACATTTTTGTATTGTATCAACGTGTGCCCTGACCGTTCTTGATTTTACTGAGATGCCTCCTTCCTGTAACAATTTACTTAACACTCTTTCAGTTTGTTTTTTACTAATTTCTGATCCCGTATTTCTACTATAATACAACCCAACAAGATGACGCCAAACAAAACCGAGACAGAATGAAATAAAAAGGGAACAACAAAAAGTCATTATAGCCTTTCTATCCTCCTGACATGTGCATCTGTCCTTTCTCCCTATCTGTTCCTCAGACGTAAATAGTTTTTCCTCAGATGTGAGCGGTTTTTCTTCCATCTCACTCATCTCCAGGGACAGGCAACTTAAAACAAAAGTGAAGCAAACTAAAAGAGGAATCTTAAAATGGCTACCCATCCTCTCGCCCTGCCCTCAGGGGCGAGCAGTTTCACTTACCCTCAGTCGCTCCCCGTGCGAGCCACCAAATGCCGCAGTCTGGCTGGGCACAATCAGGAGCCACTTGTCAAAAGAAACTAACTTTATTTTTAGAACCACACACGCCAAACAAAACAGCCTCTCAGGAAAAATCCTCAGAGCCCCAACTGCCACCACCGGCTTCCCACAAGCCTCTCTCTCCAACACAAGCCTCTCTCCACCTCCCACAATCCTCCTGCTCTTGAGGTCGATTGGCTGGGTCACGTGGGCGAAGCCAAAAAAGTCCCCCAATGAGCAGCTCCGTGGTCTGAAAGGGCAGGGAAACAGCCCAATGAGCATCACCGCAGAGGAGCCAATCAGCTAGATGTTGCTGGGGCCGCTGTGAGCCAATCATCAGCCGGCAGCTGGAAGTTTGCTGGGGCCCCTTTGGCTGTGGCTCTCAACAAACTTGCAAGTTTATTGTAATCCCTATATAAATACACACTTTTATGGAGTTAGACAAGTTGATATTAAAGTTCTCATAGAAAAACAAACATATAAAAATACCCAAAGAAAACACTAAAAAATAAAAACCATAGGGAGGGACTAGTCCCAATAGATGTTAAAACACACTATAAGCCTTTAAAACTGTCACATTTTTAATTTTATTATATGATTATTAGATTAATATCTGTTTTCTCATTAATCTGTAAACTCCATGAAGGTAAGAACACCATGACTGTCTTAGACATTATAATTTCTCCAACTGTCTGTGACAGTTGACATAGTTAATGCATAATAGGTAGGCAGTATATTGGGGTACCAGGCCCATTGTTCTCTTGGAGTTCTCAGTTTTGTTAGGAACAGAAATGATATAGATAAAAAGTAAGCAAAATGATTGAATAAGAGTCTTTTGGTTAAAGGTAAATATTAGGAAAAATATAAAGAAATGGTGATAATGGAAATCTGCACTGGAAGGTAATATTTGAGAACAGGACAAGGAGTCATCTATGTGAATAAGTGGTAAAGTGACAGAGTAATTCATGGGAAGTAAATTGTACGTATAAAGGTCTAAGGGTGGAAACAAGTTTGAGAGGTTCAAGTAACAGAGAGCCAATACAGTTATACTGTAAAAAGGGGAGTGGAGAAGGTTTGTAGAACTTTAGTTGGCCATGCAATTAGGTCTTCATTCTAATTGTAGAGGAAGCCATTATAGGAATTAGAGTATATGGTAAGAAGAAGGGCCTTCCAAAGATGTCCATGTCCTGATCACTGGAATTTGTGAATATGTTAAATAACATGGTGAAGGGGAATTAAAATAGCAGATAGAATTTAGACTGCTAATCATATCACTTCAAAATAGGGAATATTAACCTGGATTATCAGATAGGCTTAATATAATCCTGAAATACAGATAAGAGAGAAGAATCAGGATCAGAGAGATTCAGTGTGAAAAGGACTTAGCTCAGCACTGCTGGCTTTGAAAATGGAAGAAGCAGACCATGAGCCAAAGAATGCAGATGATCTTTAGAAGTCTGAAAAGTGTATAAAGTAGGCAATGGATACACAAAAGAATTACCAGTTTCGAAATTGAAACAGTTACAACATCTAAGGGTTTAAATGAGGTTTTTTAAAAATACCATTATGTAGTATTAAATATTATTAATGTCATTAATAATATTATTCACATGGTTGTTTTCACCTTTTTAGACCTTGCTGACTAAGACTTTATTCTTTATATGTCATTAATATCATTATTCAAATGGCTGGTTTGTTATATTTTTGACTGGGCAACCAAAAAAAAAGTTATACCACTCAAAGCACAGTTTAGAAAGACAGAAATAATACAGGATGAGAAGGGCAGTGTGTAAATAAAATAAATGATCTTAGGACTAAACTAAAATAATTACCTTTGGACTTGGTACTACCCTAAACTAGTTGTTACATTGCAAATAAGTCATCCTCTCTAGTTGCCTCAGTTTTCTCATTTGCATTAGATTCTATTTGTTCAAGGTCTAAAATTCCTTATTGTAGAGCAAATAAAGATTATATTTGCAGCAAATTTATCTAGTTTGATATTTACTGTCATAAATTCATTACAGTACTGATTAGTTTACTGTTTATTATATCTGAGTTCATACCTACGAATCTCCAAATGAAATAACAGTATCCTGTTAAAAGTTGTTAAATTTTGGCTTGATTTTATTGATTCACATCTAGGCAGTTTTCCTTTAAGTTGAAATAAGACCAAAAAAATCCATGTATTCAGAATCTGATGTGAGCCTAAAAACAATATAACTGATGAAAATTTTCAATGTTTATAAAACAAAGAAATTGTCAACAGAATGCCTGGCAATAGAGCTACCAGAAAAAAAAAAGTACAGCCTATAATTCATGAAGATTGGCTCAAAACAAACTGTCCCTGCCAACAGAAAATCTGACAATTATTCTGTTGTCTAATTTGGCTCAGCCTAAGTTGACCTTGTTTATTCATCTCAGTCTTTTAATTCTTGTTAACTTGGCATGAGAGGAGAACATATGGCATATGTCTAGGAAGTCCATTTCTGCATCTTAAACTGAAATAAATGTAGAATATA